AGTTAGAACTACTATTATCAAAAAAACTAACTTAAAAAAATACAAAAATATAAGAAACAAAATGCATTGAGGTCTTATATTTAAGACCAAAATAAAAATCAAATGAAGTCTTATAGTAAGAATCGGAGGTAGTATAAGATGTTAAATATCTAAAGTATAGAGGGCAAAATGTAAACTATGTTTTTGCCAGAAAATGTAAACTATTTTTAACCTGCTAAATTTAGTTTACACATATGAAAATGCATTTTTAATAAAGAGAGTTACTATAAAATTTTAAAAAAGAAACATAATTATAAAAATATCCCAATGACAACAAAACAGTCAATAATAACAAGTAACTTTACAGAATAAAAAAAGATAACTTCTCGCTTATAATTTGTCGTTGAGCCTTGTTAACAGTTATCTTTTTGTCTGTGAGAATTTATAGTAATTCTTCCTCTTTAATACTACCCCAAGTCCTAATTATAAAAGCTAGTTGACTAATTTAATAATATTAAGAAAATAAGTTAAGTTAGTTATTTGTAATAAATAAGTGTTGTCTTTCCTTAAATATCCTTACTAATCAAGTGTGTTGGCTAAAACTATAATTATTACAAGGACTATCTTAAAAAAAATTACATAAATATGAGAGATAAAATAGATTAGTGTCTTATATTTATGATCAAAATAAAAATCAAATGAAATTTTATATTAAAAGCTAGAGGTGGTGTTCACGTAGCAATGAGAAGGGGGATAAAAAAAAGGGTAAACCGATCCTAATATTTAGCGCGCACGGAAATACAAAGAACTTGGGAAAGATTCGATCTCCTTTTGCAACATTATTATTATTTGACATTCTTAAAAGGAAAGGACCACACGACGAATCCAGATACCCGTGGGTACCTTTTCCTTTCCTTTTTTTTTGGCTACATATATAAAAAAAATTTATCAAGTGTAATTAGATCAAGTAGAAGAAATTTATTTATTGTTTTGTAAATCAAGAGTTTAAATATTGTGTATGAAAATAAATTAAACTTCTAAATTTGATAATGTTCAAACATAATTTGATAATGCTTAATAATGAAAGCTTTCATCAGTATATAATCTTTAAAAAAAATAATTGCATGTAAAAGGATGGTACTAATAAACTTTCAATAACTTTTTTCCCAATAAATTTACAATAACTTGCAATGGTCCATCATTGAAAATACTACCTCTTTTCCTAAGTATGAGATCTAGCAGTTATTTAGGCTTTCCTTTTTATACAATCCTTTGATATTTGATACTATTAACTAAGGGATCCAATTTTTTTCACTCACAAGATTTAATTATTCAAGTTCTTTTAAAGAGAACACATCCCTTTTACTTAGCCCATCCGCTATTAATTAAAAAAAATTGCTTTGTTAATGATTTTCTAATTACAAAATTCACAAATAATAAAAGAAAAAATTAACCATTTGATCTGCATAACTTTTAATTTAGTTAAAACTCATTGGCAAAAAAGAAACCTAAGTTGGCAAAATAAAACTTAATTAAAACTTAATTTTTATACTTTTGATTCGATTAAAACTTAATTTCTAAATTTGAACTTGATATAACTTAGTCTCTATATTTTCCTATTATTTAAAACATTTAGCTACAAGGGTTCATTTGGTAGCTAAAGCAATTTTAGGAGAATCCAAAGGTCCTGGTCAGAGAGATAAGAAGACTTGGTGGTGGGATAAAAGTGTGCAAGAGAAAGTCAAATAGAAAAGAGATTGTTTTAGGGCCATACATCTGTGCAATAGTGTAGAAAACTGGAAAAAATATCAGTTAGTTAAAAAAGAAACAAAGAGAGCAGTAAGCAAAGCACGTACTAAAGCTTATGAGAGGTTTTATCAGGAGTTAAGAACAAAGACGAGAGAAAGAAATATTTACAAGATTGCGAAGCAAAGGGAGAGGAAAAAGAGAGATCTAGACCATGTAAAGTGTATAAAGGATGAAGATGGTAAAGTACTAGTTATTGATGGTGATATTAAGGACAAATGGGAGGATTACTTTTACAAGTTGTTTAATGAGGGAAGCAATTATGCGACTCAGGACTTACAAGACTTGCTAATTAATGAAGATGATCGGAATTTGGCTTTTTACCGCAAGATCCGTATCGAAGAGGTTAAGGCAGCTCTTAAGAAAATAGACAATGGTAAAGCCGTTGTGCCTGATAGTATCCTTATTGAAGTTTGGAAATGTTTGGGCGATGAGGGTGAGGTGTGGCTAACCAAGCTTTTTAATAAAATTTTACGCTCTAAGAATATGCCGGATGATTGGAGGAGAAGCATTTTAGTTCCTATTTACAAGAATAAAGGAGACATTCAAAATTGTACAAGCTACAGAGGGATAAAACTTATGAGTCATACAATGAAGTTGTGGGAAAAAGTGATGGAATATAGGTTGAGGTTGGAGACTTCTATTTCGAAAAACCAATTTGGATTTATGCCAGGGAGATCCACATCGGAAACAATCTATTTACTAAAGGGGTTAATGGAAAGATATAGGAGTAAAAGAAGGGATTTACATATGATTTTTATTGACTTGGAAAAGGCTTATGATCGTGTGCCAAAAGAAGTAATTTGGAAGGCTTTGGAAAAGAAAGGTGTACGGGTTGCTTATATCAAAGCCATACAAGATATGTATGAGAGGGTAACTACCAGTGTAAGGACGCTTAGAGGTGAGACAAAGGACTTTCCTATTAATATTGGTCTACATCAGGGATCCTTTTTGAGTTCGTACTTGTTCAACATTGTTCAAAATGTTCTAACTGAACCTATTCAAGAAAGAATCCCTAAGTCCATGCTTTTCACGGATAACATAGTTCTCATGGCTAAATCAAAAGAAGAGATTAACACTATATTGGAGTTATGGAGAAAGACTTTGGAGTCGAAAGGTTTCCGCTTGAGCAGAACAAAACAAATATATGCATTGTGATTTTGGGGAGAGCAAGGCAATGGGGATTTGGAGGTGAAGATGGGGATCAAATCATTCCTCAAGTATCAAAGTTTAAATACCTAGAATCCATTATACAAGAGGATGGGGAAATTGAGGGAGACGTTTCTCATAGAATACAAGCTGGCTGGTTAAAGTGGAGGAAAGCTATTGGAGTTATTTGTGATAAGAAGATACCTGAGAAACTTTAAAAAAATTTTATCAGACTGCTATAAGACCAGCTATATTGTACGGTAGTGAATGTTGGGCAATAAAGGGAAAACATGAGCACAAAGTCGAGGTAACAGAAATGAGGATGTTGAGATGGATGTGTGGTCATACAAAAAAATAGGATTCGAAATGAAAATATCAGGGCAAGAGTCGGTGTGGCACCTATCTAAGAGAAAATGATTGAAAATCGCTTAAAATGGTTTGGACATGTGCAGAGAAGGCCATTGAAGGCCCCGGTGAGGAGGATGGATCAGACAAGATGTAGTCCCATAAAAAAGGGTAGAGAAAGACCGAGAAGAACGCTTAACGAGGTCATTGAACGAGACCTCCTAGTCAACAACATATCTACGGACTGGGTTGTTGACAGCACACGATGGCGTTGTGTAATTTATGTAGCCGACCCCACCTAGTGGGATAAGGCTTGTTGTTGTTGTATTTAAAACATTGGCCCTTGATATTTAAGAAATAACTTCAATCCTTATATATGGTTTTATTTTTTTGAAAATGCAGAGACATCTTAAATAGTTTAAAATTATAAGGATTGAGTTATATCAATTTAAATTTTAAGAATTAGATTGTAATAAAACTAAAATTATAAATTATGATTTGTATCACAGCAAAATTAATTTCTAGTGTGTCAAAACTATATTAGTTTTTCCAAATGACAAAAAAGTGACTTGTTAAGGGGCAAACACGCCACCAGCTATAGATGTGATTGAATATACACACATTGCTCCGGTCCTTAATATAGACCTAATTATTGAGTTGATTTTGATTTCAAATATAAGACTATTTATCATATTTATTATTTTTTTCTAAATTACTCTTATGGATACTCCCTCAACCATAATTAAATAAAAGGAATGGATGATATTAAGGAAGATGATAATGGCGTTTTAGAAAAAAAAACATGTCATATTTCTTATAATTAACTAACTTACTTAACTTTATTAATCTAATCAAATTAGTTAAATAGGTTTTATATTAAGGATTGAAGGAGTGTATATATATATGTGCAAGTCATTTGTAAATATAAATAACTTGTAAGGCAATTACTGATCTTTATTTAATTTTATTTTTGTTGAATATAATAAAAAATACGTGAGAAAAATGTACCTTTTTTTAAATACCAGTTATTTAATAAAAATAAACGTGAACAATTTTATTTTAATGTATTCATTAATATGTGAAAACGGGATCCAAGTAACTATATATATAATAGAAAAAATTGTAAATAAAGACCCTTAATATGTAAAATTGCAATTTAGGACTCTCAATTTGAAAAATAGCAATTAAGGATCGGGTCTCACTTTTACAAATATGAAATGTTGATAAAATGTCTGAAATGCCCCTCAGTCAAATTGTGATTTGGTCTACTAAAGTTGTCATTCGCTAAAGTGAACTTGTCATTTCTTATAATCAACTTGTTATTTGACATATCCTCAGCCAAGTTGTTATTTGATCTATTAAAATTGTCATTTGCTAAAGTGAACTTGTCATTTTTCATAGTCAACTTGTCATTTGACTGAGGGGCATTTCAGACATTTCATCATGATTTCATGTTTGCAAAAGTGAAACTGGGTCTTTATTTACTATTTTTCAAATTAAGAGTCTCAAATTGCAATTTTATATATTGGGGCATTTTTTCACAATTTTTCCTATATAGTACTACTATTATATATATATATATATATATATAAAGTAGAGTTGGTGCAAGATATGCTGTTACCAACGGACTGTCGTTATTATTATCATTTTTATTTTATTTCTGTCAATCAGCCACTTCAGTTGCTCACCTGGCCCTTCATTCTCTACTTAAAGGCGCCAACGCTACCGAAGCTGCTTCATCAATAACTCCTCCAGGCTCCAGCTTTTCTTATCTCGTTATACTCTTACCACAAAGGTTTGTTTTTCTTTCACACCTTTTGTGCTTCAGCCTTCAACATTATTGCATCAAAATTTTCGCTCTCGTCTTCTTTTTCTTCCTCACCTCTCTCTCTCTCTCTTCTCTCAAGATCTCTCTTAATATCTTCTTCATCTTGATTGACATTCAATTTCCACAAAAAGGAAACTAAATTCATTCGTATTTGAAAGTTGCTTCCCGCATTCGAAATGAAATTTGGTTTGCGTCTAATGTGTGGTTATATGATCTGGAATAGCAGGTGGTCGATCGATCGGTCGGAATCGGAGATTTCGATTTAGAGATTCGCGAAGGTTCTAATGGCTGCCGAGGGAAAGGAAAAGGTAGTGAAGAAGTTGCAAAAAAGCTACTTCGATGTGCTAGGACTTTGCTGCTCATCGGAGGTGCCTCTGATCGAGAACATCCTGAAAGCTCTCGACGGAATCAAAGAGGTTTCCGTCATCGTGCCTTCCAGAACGGTCATTGTTGTTCATGATAGTCTTGTAATCTCACAGGCTCAAATCGGTAAGATTTCCAAATTAAATTCTCCATGGCGTGTTAGGAAATTCTAAAACTCTTTTGGACAATGAACTGTTCTATAATACTGGACTCTGTGTTGTTAAAATTATATCATCCGTGCATCTCTCAAACTAAACAAATTGTGTGAGAAACGTAATTCAATTCTCTCCATTGCTGTCTTCACGTTTTGCTTTAACTGGTAAGCAAATCGTAACAGTTTTCTTTAGTGCGGTGTTTTGTAGCTATAACGATTAGGTTCGGGCGCTACCCGCGTGATCGAATGCCAAGAAACGACTATATGTAATGGGGAAATGGTAGTTTTCAGTTTTTTACTTGTACCACCTTGCTAGACTCGAGCTACAGGGATGCCGTTAAAAGAAAAGAAGGATTCAGGTCGATATTAATATATTAGTAATTTAGTTTTAAAAAATTATTATCTTTTGATGTTTTATTTTTAAACTTTTTTAAAATATAGATGCAATATCTAGCTTACGGTAAATGAAATTCACGGTATAATTATATTTATTTGATAGGAGTAAAACAATAGATTGCTATATTTTTAAAATTTAAATTTATATCGTTTAACATTTTATAAGATTTAATTCAGACAATAGGTGATTGGTTATCGTTGCTGTCCTTCTTGTATTTATCATTTGTATTGTTGTCTAGGATATTTTTATTGATTAATGTCAATACAAGTCGCAAAAAGGGACGTAAAGTCCAACTGTACGGTTTATAAGCCGTAATTAGTCCACTTCAACTTCCGTGCAAATGCATAGGAACAGCATCACCTTAAAAACTTGAAAACTTAAACGGTACAGAAATTAAAGGAAGAGCAACTAGCATTGAGCAACACTATAAAAAATGCAAAAGCAAGTTTAAAAGCGGGGGAAAAAGTATGAGGCAACCTTTTGACGTTCTCGTTTAGTGGTTTCCCAGTCTTTTCCACAACTTTATCTTATATTTTATGTGAAAGACAGATATTGCCAATGAAACCCAAAGGACCCCCCCCCTTTTTCCCTCTTAAAGATACCAATAAGAACGGAGGTTTGATGTTTCCGTTTGCTTTATGACCCATTTTGACCACTTTGGATTGCTTCTAACTTTGCTTTATTATATGCTTAACTTGATGTCTAATGGGCAACTTGTTGGGGGGTGACAGTTAAGGCGCTGAATCAAGCAAGATTTGAAGCAAATATCAGATCCGAGAATGGGACAGAGACGCTGCAAAAGAGAATGCCAAGCCCATATGCAATTGCTTGTGGAGTTTTCCTTTTGTTATCCTTTTTAAAGTATGCTTACCGTCCTTTGGAATATCTGGCCCTTGGAGCAGTAGCTGCTGGTGCCTTCCCTATTCTTTTGAAAGCCCTCGCCTCCATTCGCAACCTTAGGATTGACATAAATATTCTCATGCTCATTGCAGGTATTTATTTTGCATTATTCTTTCATTCCACTTATTATTTCTTCTTTTTTTTTTGGGAACAAAAAAGTTGGCATCACCTAGAAATTTAAATGCATCATGAAAAAAATTTCCTGCCTGGATTCTAAATATAGAAGTTACATAACTAATTTATAGACATTAAAAAAATTATTTTAGTTAATTATTTGTGAAAAAAGTGTATTGGTTTTCTTAAAATACTCATCAATCGTTTTACCTTGAAATCTTTTGCTCTTATTAATAGAAACCCCCCTTAATAGTTTGAGAAAAAATTATAATTTTTGCAAATAAAAAAGGTTGAGGTCTTTATATATAATAGATATAGACGGTCTCATAAGTCAATAACTATTCATATTTTTTTCCTACTATGCAAGTCTATTCTTTATGCTCTTAATTAACTTATCTTTTCCTTTTTGACAAGTGGTTAACTAAGTTCTAGAACAATACAAAGAAATAGATATACTAAATAATTACTGCGCCTGGCCTTTCGGTGCCCAAAATGTCTCCTTGTAACCCGAAGCTCTTCGAGAGGCGTTTTGCGAACGACTTTTTTTTTTTTTAATGGTGTAGTTAAACAATCTATTAAAATATGTTTATGCTTCATTTGCCATTTAATTATTGAGAAAATTACTATGACCTTCCCAAAAAATATAATTATAAAAAAATTTAATGACAAGTAAGCAGAATGAAACTTAATATCATTCCCGCTGGATTGGAATATTCACTGGTTAAAAACTTATTATTTTTCTTCCTTAACATCACATAATAATTTTCCTTAATTATTTGGTGATCTATAATACCTAAATTTCACTCTAAAAACTTTATTTATTATGTAAAATTCTAGTAGTTAAATTTAATTTATTATTTCTAAAAAGTACTTGTTTAAATACTCAGAATACTTTCTCTCAAGAACAAGTATATTTTTTGACGCATTATTTATTTTAGAACTAATTCTTATCATCACTAATATCATTCACTTATTTTTAAATTTAAAATATATATTTTTAAATTCAGCTTGGGAAAATTAAAGCTATATTAATCATGCCATCCTAATCGCCTAAACCCACCCAGAACAGTGATTTCGCTATTTATGTGCTCTCATTTTTCCTTATCGCATGTCTCTTGCTTGAGGTTGGAGAGACGGTATGCCATAATCTCTGATCTGAATACCTCACGCAACTGTGAACATTTAAAGCTCGATAGATGGAACAACGTACACTACAAGCAATTTCTCATTTCGCTTCTCATTATGGCGATCTGTTTTTTTTTTTTAATTTTTTAAAAAAATTGGGGGTTTGGTGGGGACTGGGGAGGGTCATAGTTAGAAGTCCCTATCATGTGTTATTTAAATTATCTGATGATTTTGTTTACTTACAAAATTAAAGAAAAATAAACAGAGATCATTTCTTTTAAAGAACTTGTATTGGAAGCATTTCAAACGTTAAAGACTTTATATTTCCCCAAACTTCACGAAAAATAAGAAATTTTAGAGGGTGTTGTTCAGTGTTGTAGTAGAGATATTGAAGTGAATGCAACGATAACTAGGACTCAAGAAGTAAGCTAAAATATTCAATTATGGACTATATTAGTGCATGGTGTGCTTGAAAATGAAGAAGAAAGTTCTTAAAATTGAAAAAAAAAATGTAAGAACCAATAATTTTTTTCCAATTGAATATTGCCCTCTTTTGAACTTATATGACAATTAGGGAAAAATAGGAAATTAACCTTCTCCCTTATATATGTTTAAATTCAGAACTGAGGTGTAATCTTTTTTTCTTTTGTATTGACAGTTATTGGGACAATTGCTATGAATGATTATTTGGAAGCCGGCACCATAGTTTTTTTATCTTCAATTGCAGAATGGCTAGAGTCAAGGGCAAGCCACAGGGTAAATTAATTATCTCTCTATTTTATTTTATTTTTTATACGAATCCCTCTCTTTTGTTTTTCAATGGTCATCGCTTAAACAATTTCTAGCAATTAATGATCTCTAAATTTTGTGTTGAAGCTCAATCAGATCGATAAGATCATCATGCCTCTCTAATAGATTTTTTTCCTGAATTGAAATGAAAGCTTAATTATTAATTATAGTGTATGCTATTTTAAAATTAAAATAAAGTATATAAAACTTTTGATTTTATAAAATTATGTGCATTTTTATATTTAAAATATGCATGAATATTCGTTGAAATAAAAACTTACAGTTATTTGAATAAATTACTCTCAATCTGTGTGTGTGTGTGTGTGTGTGTGTGTGTGTGTATAGTTCAATCAAAATATCTCCCTGCCTATTTTTAATGAAGGATATTTTTCATGTAAATTGATTTGGGTTCTTTCTGCCTCCTGTCGTGGTGTCTTGCATGTTCATCGACTTTTTAATTTATTTTTATGTAAAATTAAAGCAACTAAATATTTGAAATTCCACCTCAAATCTTTTTATTGAAAATTAATTTGTGATTATTTCAGAAATTTAAACATTTATTTTTATTTTTAAAATTATATTAATATATTCTTAATGATGGGCGTTGGATCAAGGCCCTAATCGGGCCTGACAATTTGCACCCCCACCAATTGATTTTTTTGGCAAGGATATTGCTATATTTTTTAAATTATCAATTGTACGAATCATTTGCCTTCCATACAAATATATGCGATCTTATTTTTTTAATCAAATATGGGGACTTATTTTAATTATTCATAAACTACAACAATCTCCTTGCACTGTGAAGGGGATTGAATTTTAATGTTCTAAGCTCCAAAAAAAAAATTTGTTTCTTGTTTTTATGATAAAAAAATTATTTTAGAAGTAAAAAAGATAACAAAAAAGTTGATCTCCTACTTGAGATATATGTAATGGTTTTAGCTTGATGGTTACTATACTTTAACTTCAAGCTTAATTTTAAGAACTCTTTTAGTCCTTAATATAGGATTTAATTATTGAGTTTATTTTAGTTCTAAATGTAAGATCTATTTATTATATTTATCAATTTTTTTAAATCATCTCTATAAATATTCCCCCAACCATAACAAAATAGGAGAGGAAGGGAGGATATTAAAAAAGATGATTATAATGATTTAAGAAAAAAAATCATATTTTTTATAATTAACTAAATTATATAACTTCTTTAATCTAATCAAATTAATTAAATAAGTTTTATATTAAGGACATAAGAGTATTATTTTTCAATTTTTAATTTACATGGCATTTAATTTTAATTTTTTTTAATGTTTAACTTGCCATGTAATTTTTAAAATATTTTAAATTAATTTCATTTTTTTAATTTAATAATTTTAAATTAAACATAATGAACATAACCATGCACACACAAATCAAGATACCACAAATTATAAGTTGATCAAAAACCAAAAAGATAAAAATGTCAAGCTGCAAATTATGTCGTTTTCAGTTGTATTTCTTATGGCCAATGTTGTCTTTCGCTCCTGAGTCAAAAGGAGCGAAAAGAGGACGGGGAGGTTAGCTTTGCTTGTCGTCTTCTGTATTTTGTAGTTTTGTTATAGTTTTTCTCCCTCACAAAAAGGTCGTCTTTCGCCGGTAACCAATTACCATACAGCGTTTGACAGAATCCAGAGAATTCGTTCTCAGGGAACGGTAAAGTGATTAAATTCCTCAGAAAGACCCTAAAAATTAGAAATTTACAAATATGTCCTTGTGTTCCAGGCGAGCGCAGCGATGTCGTCGCTGACGAACATAGCTCCTCAGAAAGCAATCATAGCAGAAACAGGAGAAGCAGTCGACGCCGATGAGGTGAAAGTGAACGCCATCATAGCCGTTAAAGCAGGAGAAGTGATACCCATTGATGGGATTGTTGTAGAAGGCAGCTGCGAAGTTGATGAGAAGACATTGACTGGGGAATCATTCCCTGTGCTTAAACAGAAGGACTCTCTCGTGTGGGCTGGTACAATCAACTTAAATGGTAACCTCTCTTACTTCATTTTGGTCTCCACTGGTTATAGATTATTATTAGATAGATCATTTCATTTTCAATATATAATAAGCTTTACTATTCAAGTAACGAGTAGTGCAGGCTATGTACCCATAGAACCGTAATCAAGTTTTCTTAGTATATTGTGCTTATTGAAGAGGCTAACGGCAAACTATCAAGTGAGAATGCCAAAAAAATTATTTAAAAATTTTAAAATTTTAAAATTTTAAATTAGTCCTGTACATTATATTTTAATAATAATTGACTATGTTTAAAAAGTAAATGATGATACATTTTTTAGTCATTTCTGATTTGAAATTTTGAAAGTTTTTTTGAAAAAACACTTTTTTGCTAGTAAAAGTTACTCCTCTTGTTATATAAGACCCTTATACATACTAGTACAAGGGTCTTATATTTAGGATTAGAGGAGTACTTACTATTTTAGGTTCAACCCACTTTTGACTTTTTGTACTTAGAAGTCTTAAGTGTAATGTTGGCGCTGGTATGGATAGAGTATTAAGAGAAAATAATTGCAAAGTAGAATTTTATTATCGACAGTGTATTGATTTGGTTGGCTTGTCGAAAGGTTACATTGATGTGAAGACTACTGCACTTTCCGAGGACTGTGTGGTGGCCAAAATGGCGAAGCTTGTGGAAGAAGCCCAAAACAGCAAAACCAGCACCCAGAGATCGATTGATAAATTTGCCAAAATTTACACCCCAGGTTAGTCAAAATTTCTTGCATCTGTTTCAATGGCTCCTGAAAGTTAAAAGCAAATAATGCAGAGTACTACACCATGCTTGTTAAAAATTGACTTGTCAATGGTTTCTAGTTCATTTTCACTTCCATTCAGTACCTTCCATTTGCATTTTTTCTTACGCTTTCTCTTAAACTTTGAGTCTGTTGCTCAAGCCTTGGCAAGTCCAGGGCATCACATTAGAGATAAGAGGACTTAGACTAACTAAAACACTCCACAAAGCTTGATGATGGCAAATGTGTTCATCGATAAACATAAATTGACACCTAAGCATGGAATGGCACTGACCTAGATCCAGTGAAACGGCAGTAGGACATTGGTATGTGTTAGAAGAGAATCATATAAGTTGTTGCGCACTTAAAAAGTATGTAAACATCTATTACATTTGAATATGGCCAGGATCTGTTAAAACATGCGAGTGTCAGATAAATTGCTAATCGAAAATTGTAATACTGTTGTCCTTTGAAGTTCTAGAATATATGACATTGTTAGATTGTGTCAAGCAACTGTCACACATCAATTTTGAATGCTATTTTTTTTTTGGTAAGAATTATAAACCTTTAGTTTATAATTAGCATCCTAAACGCATGCTGTTCGGTTTGCTAATATTTCAATTTTATGTCATTTCTTCTTTCCCTACATACAATATCATAGGCCTTATTTCTTGCTCGTAATGTTTTTCAGCTGTTGTGGTCATATCAACTCTCTTAGCGGTGATTCCACTTGTGTTAAGGGTAAATAATCAGAAACATTGGTTTCACTTTGCCTTGGTTGTTTTAGTAAGTGCATGTCCTTGTGCACTTGTCCTTTCTACGCCAGTTGCAACTTTCTGTGCTTATACCAAAGCAGCTAAATCCGGTCTTCTCATCAAAGGGGGCGATTACCTTGAAACCCTTGCAAAAATTAAGGTGATGGCTTTTGACAAAACGGGTACTATCACAAAGGGGGAATTTTTGGTGTCAAATTTCCAGTCTCTTTGTGATGACATCGATATGAAAACATTACTACAATGGTAGGAATTTGCTCCTCTGCCTGTTATTTGATCTCTAACTATCAAGAAAACAACATATTTAAAAAAAAAAAAAAAGATATTTTGTCTTTTGCGTGACATATCAGAAATGATCATGTGGCAAAGTTCTCAACCCTATTTTATCTGTCAACACCCGTTTGAGTTGTTCTAAAAAGCACAAAAGAGAAACGTTTCACGAATATCTCACATATCAAGAGTTGAGAATATGGGCCTAACTTGTTAGGTTGGCCTACTTAACCCAACGGAAAAAGGTGGGTTGGGTTGTAAAAATTGCAACCCATTTGAAAACGAACTAATTTTGGACCAACCCGCTTAACTCATGGATGGACTGGGTTGACCCACTTAACCTGTGGGTTGGCCTTTTTTAATTTGTATTTTTTTAATAAAATTTTGGAGTTCATTATATAGAAATATTTTTTCACTTATTTATATATAATTATTACTTTAATGATATGTACCTTTGGTTAGTTATTACTTTATTGATAATATATTAAGATTTTGTCATCTATACTATATTACTTAGTTTATTTTGTGGATTTGAATTAGTCAATAGCATATTTTAAAAATTTGATTTAAGTTATTAAAAAATTGTGACGGGTTGACAGGTCTAACCTACCAACTCATTTAATGAGTTGTATTAATAAAATCTTGACCTACTTTTGGTGTTGGGCCAGCCCATAAAAGTTGGGAAGGTTCACATTACTAGTCTTGCTCTTTGTGCAAGGCTACGTGGATACTGGAACTGGGGATCATTTTATGTTAACTTGCAGGGTCACAAGCATCGAAAGCAAGTCAAGCCATCCGATTGCAGCAGCACTTGTGGACTACGGAAGGTCTCTATCCATTGAGCCAAAGCCCGAAAAGGTGACAGAATTTGAAAATTTTCCTGGAGAGGGCATTCATGGAAAAATTGATGGGAGAGATATTTACATTGGAAATAGAAAAGTTGTCACTAGAGCTGGGTCTGAAACAGGTAAATGCTTTTCCCATATTTAGTGTGATATGACTATTTGGAGCCAAATGAAGTGTATCGTGGATATTTTGAAAATAAAACAAGATTTTCATATCTTCTATATTCCTTGGTCAATATACCGATGATCCATTTTATTTTTAATTATTGGGACTGAGTAAATTGATAATTTGAATTGATTGGATTTGAAGTTCCTGCCTCACAAGGTGACATTCCGGTTGGAAAAACAACTGGCTACATCTACTCTGGAGCAAAGCCAATTGGACTTTTCTCACTGACAGATGCTTGCCGATCTGGCGCCCAGGAGGCATTGGGGCAGCTGAAGTCATTGAGCATCAAAACCTCAATGCTCACAGGAGATAGTCAAGCAGCTGCCATGCAAGCACATGACCAGGTGTGTGCATTTAATAATAATTATTTTAAATGTGTGTTTTGAGCTTAAATATGCTTTAATTCCTTTGCATTATTGGGACACAAGTGTAAGGCTTTCTTAAAACTGCGGTGTTTGCCCGTGTTTGTCATGTGATTAAAATGTATATCTGTGAATTGGTCTAAATGTATTCATTTAGTATTTATCAGTTGAAAGCTTTTCACGTCCTCGTAATGTTTTGTTACCCTATTTCAAGCCTGGATATGCTGCAAATTCAGAAATTTGAAGTGCAAATTGATGGTCCATAATGAATATGCTGTCGGAACTGGGGCTGTTTACATTTCGTTATTAATCTTATATGGCTATATTCTAGCTCTCTGCTAGTATTGTCTCCATGTAGATTGATGCTGATATCAAAATAGTATTAACCATCAAAATGAGCTTAGTTATATGCCCTAACGGATGAGCTAAAAATATTTTAAGTTCATAAATATGTCTGGATATGTTCTAATCTATGCATTTACTTCCTAAAAATAACGTCAGAGTCATGGAAACTGAGATAAATGATAACCGCAACGGTACTTTATCTACAGCTAGGGCATGTTCTGGAGCTAGTCCATGCAGAACTTTTACCTGAAGACAAGGCAAAAATCATCAAAGAATTCAACAAGGAAGGACGAACAGCCATGGTTGGAGATGGCATAAATGATGCACCCGCACTGGCTGTAGCTGATATTGGTATCTCAATGGGGATTTCAGGTTCTGCACTAGCAAGTGAGACGGGCAATATAATTCTTATGTCAAATGATCTGAGGAAGATACCTCAAGCCATTAAGCTTGCAAGAAAATCTCACAGGAAAGTAATAGAAAATATTCTCTTGTCAGTCGTTACTAAAGCTGTCATTCTTGGCTTGGCCATATGGGGCCATCCACTGGTTTGGGCAGCAGTTCTTGCTGACGTGGGAACATGCGTGTTGGTAATCTTAAACAGCATGCTAATTTTGAATGGGTCATCCAAGCATAAAGGAAAATGTTGTAGACCTTCCTCTGGACTACACAGCCATAAATATGGATGCAAGGCACCTAATGACAAGTTCTCTCATCATCATCATCATCATCATGAACATAAACACCAGCATCAGAACGATCACCATTGTTTCTCAGACAAGAAGGAAGTGATGTCTCAGCCTCATAAATGCGCCTCCCTAATTACTGTCTCAAAGTGCCAGTCTAGCCCTGCATTTTCAGGCTCGTGTGGACATGCTATGCATGGTAACATCACGGAGAGTCATGCTCAATGTAAAGTCAATGCTGAGTTCAATGTACCCAATCATTGCCATCAAGGAAGCTGTGACCAGAAGCAAGAGGGAGTTCATTTGCATGATGTGAAAAATGCAAGTTGTCTGGGTTCTCACAAATTGGATCTGCTTGCAGAAGAGAAACACGAGATTACATTCAACAGCATTGGTAATTGTTTGGAACATACTAAGTCCCATGAAACAGTACACTGCCATAATGGAAACTGTGACATGGGAACTCATGGTGAACCATCACCCATTTCTCCTTGCCATCTCAATTCTTCTGCTTTGAAAGATTGCCTGCAATTTGGTAGCAAACATTGCCACTTGATCTCTGGTTGTGAAAATACAAAATGTCATGCCATTGAGCGCCAAAACCCAGGGTCTCATTCTGAACCTTCCAAGAAGCACCAGGAAGATCATGTCCGTCTTAACATTGACGATGAGCATGTCAAGTCAGACTCAATGGGAACTTGTGTATATTCAGAAGGGAAAGAAACAGGGTCCTGTCACAAAGGCTGCGCGGAAGAATGTGAAGCATCCACTTCCGTGTGCAATTGTGAGAGTTCAAATGACAGACAAGTTGCTGCATGTTGCATAGACGAGATCTCTTCAAAGGAATCCACAGATTTTGCTGTTTTGCAGGCTTGTTTAAGTTTAGACAAGAGAGAGAATGGTTCGTGTTGCAAGAGCCACATGAAGGAATGCTGTGGCAAGCATGAACATTTACATGCTGGTTTTGTAGGAGGCTTATCAGATATTATCATTGAATAGGTTTTGCTGATGTTGGTGTGGGCAACTGATGTCAGCATGTCTTGCAGATTACAAGTCACTGGTATGTAGAAAACAATGTTGTATTGTGTCCTGTCCAATGTTCGTATGAGACACAATGCGACACTTGAAATTTCACAACTTCATTATATATTTATTCCTGCTTCTTAAATTGCAAATGCAAGATAGATAGTTAGAAGATTTCCATGCACCATGAATTGTCGAAATTCTCCATTGGAACTGCATGTAATTTGAAGATGATCCGATGACGTGGCATCTGCAGCCTCCCTTTTACAAAGCAGGTCTGTAGGACATTTTCAGGTAAACCGTAGACATGTGGAATCATTATGTCGCTAGAAGATAGTTTTGTTTGTAGCCTACTATTGCTCATTAAGGTTTTCTGGAGGGAAAAGGACGTAACTTCTTGGCAATATTTGGCTAGGCTTTGTAGGGCTTGTCTTGTTGTATGTATTGCTTAGGGTGTGTTTCGATTAGAGGTGACAGAAGTAACTTTTTTTTTTAATCTGACTTTTATAAAAGTCAGATTGGATAAAAGCCAGATAGTATAATATGATTTATGTTTGGATTGAGTTTATAGAAAAGTCAGTTTGAGAAGTTGAAACTTGTTTGGATGATTAATAAAATAGCATGTTTAGATGTAAAATGATTTAAAAGGACATAAATTTTTTTAAGTAATACATATCTAATATTATATGTATATAATGTGACCATTTTAAAAGAAATATTAAAAATAAATAAATTTAATTTATTATTAGAAAGAAATTAAAAAAATACTAAATATTTAATTAAAATATTTAATGGGTAAATATATATAAATCAGAAATCATATATATAATTTCTGTTCTTCTCCCTCCCCCCGCCCCATCCCACCGCACCCCCCACAATGAGGGAAATAAACTCATGCAGAAAGCCAAATTAGATATTGAGGGTAGGTGAGAAGCATTAATGCCAACCCACCGTTAAAAGCAAAATGAGTAAGCTTCTCCTTAAAAGGCCGTTTATCCTTAAAAGTCAGGTTGCAAAAAGGGTATTCCAAACACACTCCAAATCCAAAACTCCTTTTGTCATTTGAGAAGTCAGTTTGGGCCTCCAAGTTGATCCCAAACACACCCTTATACCGAACTACTACTTGTAATTATTTGTCACAAATAAGTAGCTAATATCCATAATTCAGTTTGATTACGTTACCTTGTTTGTTTGTTTTTTTTAAATAAATTTTCATATGATTTAAGATTTGCTATATGAATGCCTTTAAACCTAGTCAACTTGATAAAAAGTTGACTTATAATCCACAAGATTGTAAGTTCAAATCTTCTTGTCAATATGAAAACCTTATTGGTAGATGATTATAAGTATCTTTGTAAGCGAAGGGACTGGTATAATTTTTTATTTTCTATTTCAAGTTATCTATGTAAGATATTAGTGATTTTTTTTTTTTTGCTAAAGTATAGTATCCTCCTATTAGAAATAATCCTATTCGACGTACTGTCGGGATATTAGTGATATTAAGGTGGGGTCAAAAGACAGAGGGATGACCTGACTATAAGTCCAATTAAGGAAATGACACATCTCTGCAGAGCTGTCAAAATGGCAAGCCCAAATGGGCTCAAGCCTATAAGCCCAGATACCCCAAGTTAGGTCGTTCTCTCAAGTCCAACTCTATTCAACCGTGCTTCGGGCTAAGTCTGAGCACAACTTTTATGAGCCCAAATGCCTTAAGTTTGGTTATTCTCTCTAGTCCAACTCTAATTGACCATGCATGCTTGAGGCTAAGTTCGAGATTCTTTTTTTTTTTTTTTTAAGTTTCTCCATATAGTAATACATATATAAAATCTTCAAAAGTCCACAAATAGATGTCTAGGGTATCAAATTAAGATCCAAAATGTAAACTAAATAATACAAATATAAGCCTTTAATCTTCATCATGGTCCAAAAGATTTCCACAAGTGGAGATGGGATTTGGGGAGGAAAAAGAGCAAAAGAGATTTTACGAGGATCCAAATCCACAAGTAAAATAAAAGCCAAGGTTTTCAACTTTGTCGAGTTTATAATAAAATCATACGAATTAATTAACACTTTAATCACAAGATTTTCAATTGGTAAGCTCTTCATAAGTTCATATATAGGGCTAATTTCATATGATTTCCAAAAAACACACACACATAAATATATATATGTGTGTGTGTGTGTACCATATCCATATGTATTCTCTGATAACTTGCTTACATACCTCATAGCTATGGCTTTACACGCACACTCACACACACAGATATATAACATCACAATATATTCCCTATTTGATTGAACCATATAAAGCTGATAGTGAGGCTTCATGTGTGTGTGTGTGTGTGTAAGAGACGAATATATATGTCATTGTCTTCTTTTTTTTCCCCTTCAGATTTCATTCAGAAAGAAAGAAAGAAAAGAGAACGTGATGTTGCTATTTGCAAAACAAGAGAATGTTAAATTTTTCTCAAAATTATTCCAAGCGATGCATGACTGATGGTTAATTTAAAGTGAATATGATTCTCAAGTTTAGTCATGATGAGATCATACATATATATAGTTCATTTTCGCAATCATTTTCAATCATCACGGCTCTTAATTTCTTTTCTTAATCATGACTTAATATGATTTCACAAGAAATATCGACTTGAATATAACAATAATTATTTTCAGTTATTATGTTTTAAATTGATTTATATTTCCTAGTGCAAAATAATTTTCCGTTTGTTTTTCCTTCTCCTTCCATGGGGGCAAGAATAAATGGTCATTGTTGATTGACAAATTCGTATTCCAAACATATCGTAACCAATTAACGGTAAATATAGATAGAATCATTCTATTCCCGCAATACGAGCTTAGTCAACTATACTGTGTTAAGTAACCAGTACGAAAAATCCTGACGTACTAACACATATATAGTGACAATGGATTCCACGTCAAAAAAAAAAAAAAAAGGGATTCCAGACAGGAAAGATATATCCCTTATTAGCTGGGTAGGAATTAGATTATATATTCTGCTTTTTCCACCAACGTTGACATTAATTTATGTGTATAAATAGGCTTCAATATGAGGCTCAAGAGATCATCACAGCAGGGTTTGCTCAAAGAGCCTTGCATGAAGAGGCAGAGAGTAGATTTGAGCCAAGGATGACTTGCCGGCATCTTCTTCTCTCTGAGTATTGCTGGCTTGTCATCCTTGAGCCAAGTTTCCTCTCTTTTCTCTTTCATATGAGACTCTTTCAGAGCTTCAATGTCCATTTAATAATATTATTATCTCTGATTCTAAATATAAGATTTAATTTCTAATATCTTTCTGTGCGTGCGCATACATACGTACATACATATATTTGTGTATCATATGTTGGATATGTGGTAGCACCTCTAATATCCCAGTGAGAATTTGAATATTGATTCGTCATATTATGAGGATTACTCATTTTTACTATATCCAATTCCAGTTAGCTGACACTACTATACCTTGGAAAAAAAATAATGCTTCAAAAGTCTAATTGGGTTGATGTTTTATGTTTGAGTTTATCATAATCCGTGTTCAATAATATATATCATTATCCATGTTTATAAAGCAATCCTTCAAATATCAAGAAAACGGAAATTGAAAATTGTTCAGATAATTTCAAGATGAAAAAGTCTCCCTCTATATATACACACACATATATATATTGATAATGTACCCGTACGTACCCTTATTGTCAGTGTGGTGATAATTAATAACCATATCATTTGAGTTTTGACAATTAGTAATGTTATCAAAGATTATCAGATTTAGAAGTACATCATGTTAACCCTAGCTTGGAGGAGAAGAGCAAATGAGAAAAAAAGGGGAGAACATAAAATTAAAGTGTGCGTGAGCCATTTATGTCCTCACATCTGGCTAATTAAGTATGAAAATAAGGAGGAGAAAAAAGTGGATAATAACTTTATTATATTTTATTAAAATATTTAAATATGATAATTATTATTTTACAATATTATTTATATAATTTTCATAATATATTACTGAATGGACATAAAATATAAATTTAATTTTTATCAGAAAAGAAAGAATGGAAAAAAGAAACATTTATGATTTTTTTATCTTCTTCATGAACTTTATTTTCTTTTTATCTTTCCAATCATATCCATAAATAATTTTTAATTTGGTCCAAATATTTTTCAAATAAATTGAATGCGTTAAATTTGGAGTAAAAAAATTCCTAAAAGATAATATATAACTGGATGTGAGGACGAAATATTAAACTTTTGGTGTTAATGTGCAATTATATATCATGGAGACCCTTAGAAAAACTTTTTTATTACATAAATATGAGGGAAATTATTTACAGGTCTCAGGTAAAATAAATAAATAAGAGAAGTCTCAAGAAATTTATTTCTTTACAAGTTTTATAAGTTTGATTTGTAAATATACAACGTAACTCAACTTGTAAAATGAAAAATTTAACTCGTAAACATAAATTGTTAAATTTGAACTATAAATAAGCGAGTTTCATCTATATATGAAATATATATATAATTTTTCAGTCTTTTTTATTTAATTTTCTAATTTAAGATGTATAGATAATTTTAATGCCAACAGATAATTTTTATTATATATATCTTCGTCGAGCTGAAACATATCAATTGAGAGTAGCCAAGACGGACTCAAGGATTTACGGATGGTTAATTGATTATGATTTGACGTTTTGAATAATTTTTATTGATTATTTTCCTAACAAAATGCATTTTAAAATTATGAAAAGAAGAAAAGCCAATATTCTTTTCTGAAAACTGAAAGATCAAAGAAGAATAGAGGATTAAGAATCTATAAAAAGAAAACATATTAAGAATCTATAAAAAGAAAACATATGGTACCTTCGTCTTTCATTTGGAATGGCACGTACGCAGCACAAAAGCCAATACAAGAAAGAAGCCTGTCAGGTCATGTTTTTATTGGTAAGGAACCCAATAAACTAAACTTGGTCAAAATTTAATTTGATTGATTAAGTTCTCTATCTTTTGTGAGAACAAATTCTCATTGATTGACAATATCATATAAGAAACATGAAGTAACACATAATTAACATTCATATAAATATTATATTTCCCACAACATTTTTTTTTCATACTCCTTTAATATTGTAAGTGTTA